AGATTTGTGGTGTATTGTGTGAGATTTGTGGTGTATTGTGTAAGATTTGTGGTGCATTTTGTGAGATTTGTGGTGCATTTTGTGAGATTTTTGGTGTATTTTGTTAGATTTGTGGTGTATTGTGTGAGATTTGTGGCTTGTGTGAGATTTGTGACGTATTGTGTGAGATTTGTAGTTTGTGTGAGATTTGTGACGTATTCTGTGAGATTTGTGGTGTATTTTGTGAGATTTGTGTTTCAACCACTGAGATACTCTATTAACTAATGTCAACAATTCTTTGTATTGGTATTTGCCAATGATAACACTTTTCAAATCACTTGTCCTCAGTTGGAATATTGCTCAATGTTGGCGGCCCCGTTCAGGGCAGGAGAAATATCAGAGTTGGAACAGATACTGGGATTGTTTACGGCCTGCATAGATCCAAAAAGGCTTTTAAATTATAGAAAACGTCTTCAAGTCACAAACATGTATTCAGTGGAGCGGAAAAGAGAGAGATACATGATAATATATACCTGGACAGTGCTTGAGGGCCTGGTCTCAAATCTGCACACTGCCATGGCAACGTACTGGAGTGAGATATACGGAAGTGCAAAATAAACACAATGAAAAGCAGGGGTGCCGTGGGTACAATAAGGGAACACTGTATCAACATCCGTGGCCCCAGACTATTCAACATCTTACCAGAAGATATCAGAAACACTGCTGGGACAAGGTAGAAGTTTCAAGAGGAAATTGGACACGTATCTTCACCATGTGCCAGATCAACCAGACTGTGATTGATACATGGGTGGGCGGACCACTAGCTTGTCTGGTTAACCAGGAAAGCACCAGACAAGCCCTGTCTATGGCCGGGCTCTGGGAGTAAAAAAGACTCGGAGCTCATCAAGGGTAAAGATATGTAAAGAAGTCGTTCGTAAGTCGGAAGGTCAGTAATACAACGAGTTTGTAAGCCGGAGGATGTGTTGTAAAGAGGAATCCACCCGCACTAAAACACTTACACGTGTACGCTCGCGCAAGAACGTACACATACACTCATGTGTATCCTGGCGCAAGCACGTACACACACACTCATGAGTACGCTGGCGCAAGCACATACATACACACGTGTACATACGTTAAACACGCGTATACACACACGACAGGGAGGCAGCAACGAGTCATGGTACGTGAAGAGGTATCACAGTGGGCGCCTGTTACGAGCGGGGTCCCACAGGGGTCAGTTCTAGGACCAGTGCTATTTTTGATATATGTGAACGACATGATGGAAGGAATAGACTCTGAAGTGTCCCTGTTCGCAGATGACGTGAAGTTGATGAGAAGAATTAAATCGGACGAGTATGAGGCAGGACTGCAAAGAGACCTGGACAGGCTGGACATGTGGTCCAGCAACTGGCTTCTCGAATTCAATCCAGCCAAATGCAAAGTCATGAAGATTGGGGAGGGGCAAAGAAGACCGCAGACAGAGTATAGGCTAGGTGGACAAAGACTACAGACCTCACTCAGGGAGAAAGACCTTGGGGTGACCATAACACCGAGCACATCACCGGAGGCACACATCAACCAAATAACCGCTGCAGCATACGGGCGCCTGACAAACCTGAGAATAGCGTTCCGATACCTTAATAAGGAATCGTTCAAGACACTGTACACTGTGTATGTTAGGCCCATACTGGAGTATGCAGCACCAGTCTGGAACCCACACCTGGTCAAGCACGTCAAGAAGTTAGAGAAAGTACAAAGGTTTGCAACAAGGCTAGTCCCAGAGCTCAAGGGAATGTCGTACGAGGAAAGGTTAAGGGAAATCGGACTGACGACACTGGAGGACAGAAGGGTCAGGGGAGACATGATAACGACATACAATATACTGCGGGGAATAGACAAGGTGGACAGAGATAGGATGTTCCAGAGAGGGGACACAGGGACAAGGGGTCACAACTGGAAGCTGAAGACTCAGACGAGTCACAGGGACGTTAGGAAGTATTTCTTCAGTCATAGAGTTGTCAGCAAGTGGAATAGCCTAGCAAGTGAAGTAGTGGAGGCAGGAACCATACATAGTTTTAAGAAGAGGTATGACAAAGCTCAGGAAGCAGAGAGAGAGAGGATCCAGTAGCGATCAGTGAAGAGGCGGGGTCAGGAGCTGAGTCTCGACCCCTGCAACCGCAATTAGGTGAGTACAATTAGGTGAGTACACACACACACGTGTATACTGGCACAAGCATGTACACACTCGCGCACGCACTCACAAATCCTCTGACAGATTTAGTGACAAGAAATCGAGACTAATATAAAGCTTGCCTTAAATTAACTCTAATATATTACGTTTACACCGTCATGTTTAAAGAGAGAGAGATAACGAGTGTGTGGATGATTGTGTGTATGGTGGCGATGTATGTAGTTCCTCGTTAGTGTGTATGTGCTCACCTATATGTGAATGTGTGTGTGTGTGTGTGTGTGTGTTTTGTGGTGTGTGTGTTTGTGTGTGTGTGTGTGTGTGTGTGTGTGTGTGATGTGTGTGTGTGTGTGTGTGTGTGTGTGTATGTGTGTATGTCTGTGTGTGTGTGTGTGTATGACAGGCTGGTTAATGGGGTTTAAAATCTATCGACTACCATAGGGAGGGTCATTCAAGCAGTGTGTAACCTGATCGCCACTAGTCATGAACACCTTAATTAATACCAAAAATAAGGATTAAAGTTCTCGGTGTACATTCACTGAAGGACATGGACACATCTTGGGGTATATATCCAGTGTATGATTGTATGTGTGTATGCGCTCTCTCACTTGGAGAATTGCTCGGTGTTGACGGCCCCGTTCAGGGCATGAGCAATATCAGAGCTTTCTATATCTTATCTTCCTATGTCTTATCTTACCTTCCTATGTCTAATCTTACCTTTCTATGTCTTATCTTACCTTTCCATGTCTTATTTTACCTTCCTATGTCTTATATTATCTTCCTATGTCCTATCTTACCTTCCTATATGTTACGTAAGCTCGCTGCATCTGAGTATATTTACACTGAAGGATACACACCTCTCAGTTGAAATAGACCGCTGTGACACACATTGCTAGGATGTTTGTAAGTCATTGATGGAGAACCAATGATGACACTGAGAACACATGTGTGGATAGGGATGTTGGCCCCCTTCCCGTCCCCTGGTTATGGACCGGGCCGCGGGGGCGTTGATTCCCAAAACACCCTCCAGGTATACTCCCCCGTGACTCTTCCCCCCTCCTGTTCATTCTCCGGATGATGATGACTTGTGTGTTGTGGCTTTTCTGCACAAACATCTGTCAGTCCAGGTGTTGCTACACACACATACACACAACTGTCAGACCAGGTGTTGTTGCACCTGTGTCGCGCTGTTCCTTCTGTATTGTCCCCCTCACACACACACACACACACACACACACACACTGGTGGAGGGTACATGCCGAGAGGAGGACCCGGTTATTAGCTATTCACGGGGGTGGGGAACCTTTAACAGGTTGCCTTTTTTTTTTTTTATTTTCCTCTAACTTAGATTTTATGTCGCTCTTAACTCGAGAACGCTTCATCCAGTACTTGTGTGCATTAACGAGGGCTAAGTTCTTGGAAGAACTGGCATGTTCACGTGTCCCATGACTGAAGTTGTTGAACTTTTAAAGAACAAGAAGGCAGAATACCGTGACTGGAACAATATATAGATAACCCGCACACAGGAGAGAGGAGGTTACGACGACATTTGGGTCCGACTTGGACCATTTACAAAGTCGCGTTTTGTAAAAGTCATACTTAGTAAGTTGTCCGAGTCTGACCGAAACGTCGTCGTAACCTCTTCTCTCCTATGTGCTAGTTATTTGTGTATGGTTGAAGTTATCTCAGCCATTCCCGGCATCCTGGAATGGCTGAGAAAACTTCCAAAAACCTCAGTGGCGGAGCTTCAAACATTAACAAAAGTTGCCAGAAAATACGACGGTGGTGGAGAATGAAGCACTAGCCCGTAGGAGGAGATCTGACCAGTTTACCTGTTAAATTGTGTGATTTTTTATTCCCGTTAAATCACGTTAAATAATTTTGTAGTTTACCTCTTCTGAACGACTTCAGTAGTTACTGACTGGTGCATCTTAGTCAGGATAGTAACTGTTATGTTTAGTTTACGTCCAAAAAATTTTGTGGGTGTAGTGAAACTATAAAAACACTTGGAATCATTGGAATCCTTACTGGAGAATGACTCAGCCGATCGGCTGCAAACTTTCATCACTGGTGTGGCTTCCTGAACACAAGATTCACGCTGCTACTTCCTGCCATAAGTCACAGTGTACATTTGTATTGAATAAATAGTGATATTCTTTTTTATTCACTAAAGAATTCTTGTGATTGGCTTCAATCAGATTGACTTCGATAATAAAGATGGTACACTATCTTTCTTATCTGTCTCTGAATCAAACAACAACAAGAAAAGTATGTTTATTGCCAGGACAGAGTATGAAGGTATATGATTGTTGAAAATGACGTAAAATACCAATAAGTTGAAGATTAAGACACATGTACAACAGTTGGGTATCTTTATTGACGAAACGTTTCGCTTACACAGTAGGCTTCTTCAGTCAAATACAAAGGAAGCAGTAGTAGTAAAATGAAGATGATGTAATCAGTGTGTCAACCTTGGAGAGAAAAGTATATGAGATGGTCAGTCCCTCAGCCTAGAGAAGAGTTCAGCTCCACGGAGCTCTACTTATTAGTGGAGAACGCCTTATTCATTAGGCTTAAAATTTCCAACGCTTGTGTGACATACTTAGGGGAGGGTTGATGTTAATGGAGTGGGTAGCTACTACGGTATAGTATTATTTTACATTATTGCATTACTTTACCATTGATGCTGGTAAGGGGTTCTTGATCCAAGGAACTGGACTTGTCTTCCCTATGTTTGGATCAAATTTTAATGTCTCCCATTCCACAGGCGCTATATGATCCCTACGGGTCATATAAAGTCCACTAACCAGCACCGTTATTTGTGTTCCAGGCGCCGAGTTCGGTATCGGGTTCACCCGCTGGCCGGAGTCGGTAGTGGCTGCGGTACCCGGAACGCAAGTTCGACTTCCCTGCGCCACCAACGTCACCGCTGAGAAGATTTCCTGGCAATACAACCATCACTTCTTGCTGGCCGACACCCCTAGCGACGTCCCCGCCGCCGCCGCAGCCGCCCACCTCCAGAGGGCGCCGCCGTTTGAGGTCCACGAGACGAAGAACGGCAGCGAATTGGTGGTGAATCTAGAGCGGCGGGAAGGACAGTATCGTCACCAACTGGGGCTGTACCAGGTGCGTCCTTACTGTGTGGCACTGTAGGCTCGCTCCTCCGTTTGTGGTAATAATAATAATAATAATAATAATAATAATAATATTCTTATTATTCTTGTTAAAATTTCTTTTTTCTTCTTCTTCTTCTTCTTCTTCTTCTTATTTTTGGTTGGTGTTATTTTTATTATTATTATTACATATTATTTTTGTTTTTGTTTATCATTATTATTGTTTATTGTAATTACCTATTTTATTATTATTATGTTTATTATTATTATTATTATTATTATTATTATTATTACAAAGCAGCGCTAAGCTTGTCTGAGTCATACATGGTCTGGGGAAGGTAAGGTAGTGAGGGTTGTTGGGGGGGGGGGTAGTATGAGTTCCTGGGATGAAGAGTCCTTCACAGTCAAGGTTTAAAAGAACACTTGAGGTTTAAACCTGTGTCCCGAGGCTCATAAAACATGAGTTTCATTAATGATATTGGTACACTGTGCCAGTACTAGTACCATCGCCAGTACTAGTACCATCACCAGTATCAGTACCAGTATCATCACTAGAACCAATACCGTCATCAGCATCAGTACAATACCTTACCTTTGATATATATTTGATGAGTTTCGAGAGTTTTCCTACTGTCACAGCCCGGCCCTGAGCCAGGGTCGTTTGGTGCTTGCCTGGTCAACCAGGTTGTTACTGCTGGCGGCCCGCTGTCCACATATTCATCACAGCCAAGTTAATCTGGCACTTAATGAAGATTCTTGTCCAGTTTCCTCTTGAAGACTTCTACACTTGTCTCAGCAGTGTTTCTGATATCTTCTGGTAAGATGTTGAATAATCTGGGACCACGGATGTTGATAGTGTTTTTTTTTATTGTGCCCACGGCTCCTCTGCTTTTTACTGGGTTTATTTTACACCTCCTCCTATATCTCGTTCCAGTATGTTGTTATGGCAGTGTGTAGATTTGGGACTAGCCCTCAGGCACCTTCCACGTATATATTATCATGTATCTCCTCCGCTGCAGTGAGTTCATATTTAGGACTTGCAGAAGCTCCCAGTAATTTAAATGATTTATTGGCTTTGTGCGTGCCGTAAATGATCTCTGTATTTGTTCCAGCTCTGATATCTCTCCCACCCTGAAAGGGGCCGTCAGCACTGAACAATACTTTAAACGGGAGATCACCAGCGATTTAATTAGTGTCATCATTGGCCTGTTTTCCTTGTTTTGAAGGTTCTCATTATCCATCCCGTCATCTTCCTCACTGTCGTGACATTTGCTTTATTGTGTTATTTAACAGAAAGGTCAGCCGACATTATTACTCCCAACTCTCTCACGTGTTCCTTACATGCTGTTTGATGGTCCTCTTGAGTTTTGTATACAATGTCCCTTTTGAGTTCAATTCTTTATCTAAGTTGCTGGAATTTATCAGTATTTAACGTCATGTTGCTTTCCACTGCCGAATGGAAAATCCTATTTATACCTTCCTGCAGTTTTTTTCGGTGTCGTCTACCAAGGTGATTTTCATGCTTATTTTGATATCATCCACAAATGATGATACTAAACTGTGGCGAGTGTTTTTATATATGTCTGCTACGAGCATAAGAAACAGTAGAGGCGCCAGAACCATGACAGTACCAGTACCATCATCAGCACTAATAGCATTACCAGTACTGTACTGGTCGGTGATGATACTGGTATTTGCACTGTACAAATACCAGTACCATTCTGTTATATACCACACTTTTTAATTGGACTCTAACACAGAAGGCTTGTTACAGTGCTCCTCTATTTTATTCTGTTCTATTCTATTATGCTTTTCTATCACACATGAATAAAGCCTGTTACACAAACAGAATGAAGAGTCCAGCTTGAACCTTCCTCCATGTATGGTACAACAGTGTTAATAGTTTGAAGCCGAGCAGAAGAGGTGTTTCTCAACGTTTGAAGGCAGACTTTACTGGAAGTAAAAATATAATTCTAACAGCCACTCTTAGGTATAATTTTTTTTTTCGGGGGAAGAGGGGATACCAAATAGATGCTGTCACCTGAAGTAATGGATGTGGTGTCAGTTATGTGTGTGCGTGATGCAAACACGATGCAGTATCTCCCTCATCAATGTATACATCAACGTTCATTATCCTATCTGTCCGTCGCCATCAATCTTACGAGGCAGCCAGGGATACCAGGACTGTTAACTCTCAGCCATCAAGCCTTAAATGGGCTACCTTAACTGAGAAACTGTCCAGTAGATGGCGTGAGAAAACTGTGAAAAAGATTGCGACTGGTTTTATAAACAAGGAGTCTTGAAGACTGGAGTGTTATTACAGTGAACAAAACGTACATAACTGCTAACACGATGAACAAACAATACATAACTGTTAACACAGTAAAGGAAACACTACTACGTAACGTAGACTTAAAAATCTAATCACTCTAGTTATCTGTGAGGAATACACCCGGGTGAGTATGGTAAGGAAGGAAAGTTAGGCTGACCCAGGAGTGTTGGGGATGGGCGTCTTTGGGATGTGTGGTAATAGACGGAAGGAAGGAGAGGTCCTGGGTATGTGGTAATGAAGGGTAGGCTCTCCTGTTTATGTAGTATTGATGGGGAGGGTAGTACCGTGTTCTGAGTGCTTTACAATGTTTAGATTAACTTTGAGCCAAAGTGGTTAGTTTACTGTGCACCCCATATCCATCCAGTGGAGTGCACAGTAAACTGAACTTTGCTCAGATCTTTGCAACACAGTTGTCTTCAAAGATTTGTTAAGTTACACCATGACTTCACCTTACGAAAACAGGCAAAGTAAATGCGATAGTAATTATGGACAAGGTAGACTATAGGGCAAAAATAACATATTATTAAAAAACAGAGGAACTGACGAGCCCCTTTTAACTGTCTCTCCTCACCACCAGCAGAAGAAAACAAAAATGAAAGAAGAGTTGAGACTTGTGCAACAGAGAGTAGAGGAAGTTGACTCTTGGGAGAATGTACACTTGTACACACTTAAGAAATACTGAATATTTTCTTTTCCTTTACATCAGCATTTATATGTAGTTGTTACATACCTGACTAAGTCTCTTTACTGCACCTTAGTTTCTTCCCGGTCGTTTATGTTATCTCTCTGCTTGTTATCTCTCTGCTTGTTAGCTCTCTACTTGTTATCTCTCTGCTTGTTAGCTCTCTACTTGTTATCTCTCTGCTTGTTAGCTCTCTGCTTGTTATCTCTCTGCTTGTTATCTCTCTGCTTGTTATCTCTCTGCTTGTTATCTCTCTGCTTGTTATCTCTCTGCTTGTTATCTCTCTGCTTGTTATCTCTCTGCTTGTTATCTCTCTGCTTGTTATCTCTCTGCTTGTTAGCTCTCTGCTTGTTAGCTCTCTGCTTGTTATCTCTCTGCTTGTTATCTCTCTACTTGTTATCTCTCTGCTTGTTATCTTTCTTATTAGTTTCCATCACTGGCTGTCAGTAAGACGTGGGATTAATTTTCTGGCCTCGGGATCATTTATAAATTAGGCCCAGCAGGGGTTTAAAATCTAATTACTTGTACTAGTCTTCCATGCCCTCTCCTATACCCTCTCTACCATGCTCACACCTATACCCCCTCTACCATGCCCACTCCTATACCTCTCTCTACTATGCCAACTCCTATACCCCCTCTACTATGCCCACTCCTATACCCTTTCTGCCATGCCCACTCCTATGCCCCCTCAACTCTGCCCACTCCTATACCTTGTCTACTATGCCCACTCCTATACCCTCTACTGTGCCCACTCCTATACCCCCACCTGTGTTGTACTGAGTATCAACCACCTGTGTTGTACGGTATGTCAACCACCTGTGTTGTACTGTATGTCAACCGCCTGTGTTGTATTGTATGTCAACCACCTGTCTTGTACTTTGTATCAACCACCTGTGTTGAAAAACCATACCCCCGGCCGGGATTGAACCCGCGGTCATAGAGTCTCAAAACTCCAGCCCGTCACCTGTGTTGTACTGTATCAACCACCTGTGTTGTACTGTTTCTCAAGCACCTATGTTGTACTGGGTACCAATCACTTGTATTGTACTGAGTACCAACCACCTGTGTTGTACTGAGTAACAGCCACCTGTGTTGTACTGAGTACCAACCACCTGTGTTGTACTGAGTACCAACCACCTGTGTTGTACTGAGTATCAACCACCTGTGTTGTACTGAGTATCAACCACCTGTGTTGTACTGAGTACCAACCACCTGTGTTGTACTGAGTACCAACCACCTGTGTTGTACTGAGTACCAACCACCTGTGTTGTACTGAGTACCAACCACCTGTGTTGTACTGAGTATCAACCACCTGTGTTGTACTGAGTACCAACCACCTGTGTTGTACTGAGTACCAACCACCTGTGTTGTACTGAGTACCAACCACCTGTGTTGTACTGAGTACCAACCACCTGTGTTGTACTGAGTACCAACCACCTGTGTTGTACTGAGTACCAACCACCTGTGTTGTACTGTGTACCAACCACCTGTGATGTACTGAGTACCAACCACCTGTGATGTACTGAGTACCAACCACCTGTGATGTACTGAGTACCAACCACCTGTGATGTACTGAGTACCAACCACCTGTGATGTACTGAGTACCAACCACCTGTGATGTACTGAGTACCAACCACCTGTGATGTACTGAGTACCAACCACCTGTGATGTACTGAGTACCAACCACCTGTGATGTACTGAGTACCAACCACCTGTGATGTACTGAGTACCAACCACCTGTGTTGTACTGAGTACCAACCACCTGTGATGTACTGAGTACCAACCACCTGTGATGTACTGAGTACCAACCACCTGTGATGTACTGAGTACCAACCACCTGTGTTGTACTGAGTACCAACCACCTGTGATGTACTGAGTACCAACCACCTGTGTTGTACTGAGTACCAACCACCTGTGATGTACTGAGTACCAACCACCTGTGATGTACTGAGTACCAACCACCTGTGATGTACTGAGTACCAACCACCTGTGATGTACTGAGTACCAACCACCTGTGATGTACTGAGTACCAACCACCTGTGATGTACTGAGTACCAACCACCTGTGATGTACTGAGTACCAACCACCTGTGATGTACTGAGTACCAACCACCTGTGATGTACTGAGTACCAACCACCTGTGTTGTACTGAGTACCAACCACCTGTGTTGTACTGAGTACCAACCACCTGTGATGTACTGAGTACCAACCACCTGTGATGTACTGAGTACCAACCACCTGTGTTGTACTGAGTACCAACCACCTGTGATGTACTGAGTACCAACCACCTGTGTTGTACTGAGTACCAACCACCTGTGATGTACTGAGTACCAACCACCTGTGTTGTACTTTTATTTACATTCTAGGAAGATCAACTCGACTCATTCTGAGCTGTCACACTTCAGTAACGTCTGAAAGAGAAGCATGTTAAATGTTCTGTACTCTGGCAGGATTGCTGGGCTTGTCCTTCTCATAAATATGAGAAGGTTGCAGGGGTCGATTCACAGCTCCTGGGCCCGCCTCTTCACTGGTCGCCACTAGGTCCACTCTCCCTGCTCCATGAGCCTTATCGTACCTCATCTTAAAGCTATGTATGGATAACACCTCCACTACTTCACTCTCCAGATTGTTATACTTCCTGATAACTCTAAGGCTGAAGAAATACTTCCTAACATCCCTCTGTTATTTTATTGTATTTTTCGACGATTTAGAGCCGTTGAAGCATTTTCTGACATTTTTAGCAAAAATACGTAAATTATCACACTGTTAATTGAAACTTCTGCTACAGTTGTATTTGATGGGAAAAATAAGCCGGATCATAACATTTTTCAAGTAGCATATATGCATATTCTAATTAAAAAAAATTGAGGTTTGTCGGGGAATGATAGAAGCCGCACTGAATGTTCAAAATATTTCTCATATTTTTTATAAATGACATGAAAATTTGTTTGTGTGTGAGAGAGAGTGAGACACACACAAGTCTCACCCTGCAGTGTATATACCTACACAGTTTTATCCCCTGCAGTGTATATGTTGACACAGTTGTCTCTGCTTGCAGTGTGTGGCATGGTTCGGTGCTATAGCGTTGACCTCCCTGCCAGGACGACTGGTGGCAGCTACGCTGGAGTCGTACCCTGCCGGGAGTGCCGCCAGGGAGATGCAGGAGGTACTGGAGGGAGGAGCCGCCAGGGTGGAGTGTGGGGCACCCACATCAGTGCCAGAAGCTGTCATCTCTTTCTACAAGGATGGTGTCCTTCTTAACGCAACTGCCATCTCAGGTACGGCCGTGCACCCTTCAAGTGGTAGTGTGACTTGACGTTCAGGAGGTAGTGTGACTTGACGTTCAGGAGGTAGTGTGACTTGACGCTCAGGAGGTAGTGTGACTTGACTCTTCAGAAGGTAGTATGACTTGACTCTCAGGAGGTAGTGTGACTTGACGTTCAGGAGGTAGTGTGACTTGACGTTCAGGAGGTAGAGTGACTTGACGTTCAGGAGGTAGAGTGACTTGACGTTCAGGAGGTAGTGTGACTTGACGTTCAGGAGGTAGTGTGACTTGACGTTCAGGAGGTAGTGTGACTTGACGTTCAGGAGGTAGTGTGACTTGACGTTCAGGAGGTAGTGTGACTTGACTCTTCAGAAGGTAGTATGACTTGACTCTCAGGAGGTAGTGTGACTTGACGTTCAGGAGGTAGTGTGACTTGACGTTCAGGAGGTAGAGTGACTTGACGTTCAGGAGGTAGAGTGACTTGACTCTCAGGAGGTAGTGTGACTTGACGTTCAGGAGGTAGTGTGACTTGACGTTCAGGAGGTAGTGTGACTTGACGTTCAGGAGGTAGTGTGACTTGACTCTTCAGAAGGTAGTATGACTTGACTCTTCAGAAGGTAGTGTGACTTGACTCTTCAGAAGGTAGTGTGACTTGACTCTTCAGAAGGTAGTGTGACTTGACTCTCAGGAGGTAGTGTGACTTGACTCTTCAGAAGGTAGTGTGACTTGACTCTTCAGAAGGTAGTGTGATCTGACCTTGCAGAAGGTAGTGTGACCTGACCTTGCAGAAGGTAGTGTGACCTGACCTTGCAGAAGGTAGTGTGACCTGACCTTGCAGAAGGTAGTGTGACCTGACCTTGCAGAAGGTAGCGTGACCTGACCTTGCAGAAGGTAGTGTGACCTGACCTTGCAGAAGGTAGTGTGACCTGACCTTGCAGAAGGTAGTGTGACTTGACTCTACAGAAGGTAGTGTGACCTGACCTTGCATAAGGTAGTGTGACCTGACCTTGCAGAAGGTAGTGTGACTTGACTCTTCAGAAGGTAGTGTGACTTGACTCTTCAGAAGGTAGTGTGACCTAACCTTGCAGAAGGTAGTGTGACCTGACCTTGCAGAAGGTAGTGTGACCTAACCTTGCAGAAGGTAGTGTGACCTGACCTTGCAGAAGGTAGTGTGACCTAACCTTGCAGAAGGTAGTGTGACCTGACCTTGCAGAAGGTAGTGTGACCTGGCGTTTGATCCAAGGCATTGGCGCTCTCCTCTCTTTCCTTGGATTTACAAATATTATTTCATAATTATGTATCTCTAACTTCAACGTACTTAATATATAAGAAGAAGGTGAGACATAGACATGAAGGTGAGACATAGTCATGAAGGTGAGACACAGACATGAAAGTTAGACATAGACATGAAGGCGACACATAGTCATGGATGTGCGACATAGTCATGAAGGTGAGACATAGTGATGGAAGTGAGACATAGCCATGAAGGTGAGACATAGTCATGAAGGTGAGACATAGTCATGAAGGTGAGACATAGTCATGAAGGTGAGACATAGTCATGGAGGTGAGACATAGTCATGGAGGTGAGACATAGTCATGGAGTTGAGACATAGTCATGGAGGTGAGACATAGTCATGAAGGTGAGACATAGTCATGGAAGTGAGACATAGCCATGAAGGTGAGACATAGTCATGAAGGTGAGACATAGTCATGGAGTTGAGACATAGTCATGGAAGTGAGACATAGCCATGAAGGTGAGACATAGTCATGAAGGTGAGACAGTCATGGAGTTGAGACATAGTCATGGAGTTGAGACATAGTCATGGAGGTGAGACATAGTCATGGAGTTGAGACATAGTCATGGAGGTGAGACATAGTCATGGAGGTGAGACATAGTCATGGAGGTGAGACATAGTCATGGAGGTGAGACATAGTCATGGAAGTGAGACATAGTCATGGAGTTGAGACATAGTCATGGAGGTGAGACATAGTCATGAAGGTGAGACATAGTCATGGAAGTGAGACATAGTCATGGAGGTGAGACATAGTCATGGAAGTGAGACATAGTCATGGAAGTGAGACATAGTCATGGAAGTGAGACATAGTCATGGAAGTGAGACATAGTCATGGAGGTGAGACATAGTCATGGAGGTGAGACATAGTCATGGAGGTGAGACATAGTAATGGAGGTGAGACATAGTCATGGAAGTGAGACATAGTCATGGAAGTGAGACATAGTCATGGAAGTGAGACATAGTCATGGAGGTGAGACATAGTCATGGAAGTGAGACATAGTCATGGAAGTGAGACATAGTCATGGAGGTGAGACATAGTCATGGAGGTGAGACATAGTCATGGAAGTGAGACATAGTCATGGAGGTGAGACATAGTCATGAAGGTGAGACATAGTTATGAAGGTGAGACATAGTCATGGAGGTGAGACATAGTCATGGAGGTGAGACATAGTCATGGAGGTGAGACATAGTCATGGAGGTGAGACATAGTCATAGAGGTGAGACATAGTCATAGAGGTGAAACATAGACATAAAGGTGAGACACAGACATAAAAGTGAGACAGACATGGAGGTGAGACATAGTCATGGAAGTGAGACATAGTCATGGAGGTGAGACATAGTCATGGAGGTGAGACATAGTCATGAAGGTGAGACAGTCATGAAGGTGAGACATTGTCATGGAGGTGAGACATAGTCATGGAGGCGAGACATAGTCATGAAGGTGAGACATAGTCATGGAGGTGAGACATAGTCATGGAGGTGAGACATAGTCATGGAAGTGAGACATAGTCATGGAGGTGAGACATAGTCATGAAGGTGAGACATAGTCATGGAGGTGAGACATAGTCATGGAAGTGAGACATAGTTATGGAGGTGAGACATAGTCATGGAGGTGAGACATAGTCATAAAGGTGAGACATAGTCATGAAGGTGAGACATAGTCATGAAGGTGAGACATAGTCATGGAGGTGAGACATAGTTATGGAGGTGAGACATAGTTATGGAGGTGAGACATAGTCATGAAGGTGAGACATAGTCATGGAGGTGAGACATAGTCATGGAAGTGAGACATAGTTATGGAGGTGAGACATAGTCATGAAGGTGAGACATAGTCATGAAGGTGAGACATAGTCATGAAGGTGAGACATAGTCATGAAGGTGAGACATAGTCATGAAGGTGAGACATAGTCATGGTGGTGAGACATAGTCATGGAGGTGAGACATAGTCATGGAGGTGAGACATAGTCATGGAGGTGAGACATAGTCATGAAGGTGAGACATAGTCATGGAAGTGAGACATAGTCATGGAGGTGAGACATAGACATGAAGGTGAGACATAGTCATGAAGGTGAGACATAGTCATGGAGGTGAGACATAGTCATGAAGGTGAGACATAGTCATGGAGGTGAGACATAGTCATGGAGGTGAGACATCATTTACGATCATACCATGGCTTATGTTGCTAATAAATGTCTTTCCATTATGTGGTCCCCCGTGGTGGTGGTCACAGGGTACCGCCTCACCCCCCACGGTGACCTGCTGGTGCACGGGGTGGGTGCGTGGGCGGCCGGAGAGTACACCTGCAGCGCCCACAACCACGTGCTGCGGCAGAGCGCCGCCCCCGCCGCCCACACTGTGGTGAGGGTGGTGGCCAGGACCCAGCTCACACCTGCCTCACCCCCGCAGTTCGTCACCCTCAGAACCATCTATACCGCTCACACAGGTGGGTGAAGGTGTTGTGTGTGTGGGTGTGGATGTCGCAGTAGTGGACCTGGTGGTTCGGGTGGGGGCGCAGGCTGCGCTGCGCTGTGGTACAGACCTCCAGGGAAGAGCCAGTCAGTAACCAGCACGAGCCTCCGGCCATACCAGTAACCAAGTCGCCATCTCCTCCCCGACCCTCTTTTGTAATTCCTTTCCACGCCAAGAACACTTCGGAGGCTTCCAAGTGTACCATCAGAGGCACTATGGGCTACTACTATTACGCTTCTTGTGAAACCCTCTTGTGGAATCCTATTGTGGAACCCTATTGTGAAAACTCTCTTCTGGAACCCTCTTGTGGAGCCCTCTTGTGAAACCCTCTCGTGGAGCCCTCTTGTGGAGCCCTCTCGTGGAGCCCTCTTGTGAAACCCTCTCGTGGAGCCCTCTTGTGGAACCCTCTCGTGGAGCCCTCTTTTGGAACCCTCTCGTGGAGCCCTCTTGTGGAGCACTCATCGATATTTGTTTGTCTACATATATTAGATGAATCTTAAACATTGCTGTATTCTATTAAATCTTAAGAACTGTTGTTGAAACACCAGGTGAAGGTGAAGACCAGGACTGATCACCCGGGGCTGCCTACATTCTAATTTTGTCTAGAGCATGAATATTTCTTAGACTAGATGGAAGGAAGATGGATATGTCAACTAGTGTAACAAACACTGTTACTAATAGTACCATTGCTTCTAATAGCAGCACTGCTCCACACCTTCACTCTGACTGACCTCCTCGCTGAAAGTACCACCTTCAGCTGGGACTCCTGGATTTTCTGACGGAAAGTAATCTACACCAAGGCTAACATACATTTTGTACCTGCACTTTTAACTTCACTAACATAAATAATCACACCGCAGTGCTGTGTGCCCCAAGTGAATATACGGCTTGTTTGTAATATATAATATTCCTAATACTACCATTACTTCTAATAATGCTACCACTACTACTATCACTACTCCTTATACTACCACTGCTGCTAAGACTGTCCATGCTTATATTGTAACTACTCCTTATGCTACCACTACTGCTAAGACTATTACTACTTACGCTACCACCACTACTAAAGCTATCAGTGCTCCTTATGCTACCACTACTACTAAGATTATCACTACTCTGTATGCAACCATTATTATTATTACTACTCCTTATACTAGGACTAGTATACTACTTTTGTTTCCACTACTACTACTCATCCATGGATGATTCAAGGTCAACCAGTCGTCCTGGGATAGTTCCTGAACTAACGCTGGTGTTTCGTTAACCACAGCCACTCCTCCTGGCTGTGGCTAAGTGTATACACCCTTCAGAGAAACACATAATTATATATTTACACACACACACACACACACACACACACACACACACACACACACACACACAAGGCTAGTCCCAGAGCTCAGGGGAATGTCGTACGAGGAAAGGTTGAGGGAAATCGGACTGACGACACTGGAGGACAGAAGGGTCAGGGGAGACATGATAACGACATACAAGATACTGCGGGGAATAGACAAGGTGGACAGAGATAGGATGTTCCAGAGAGGGGACACAGAAACAAGGGGTCACAACTGGAAGCTGAAGACTCAGACGAGTCACAGGGACGTTAGGAAGTATTTCTTCAGTCATAGAGTCGTCAGGAAGTGGAATAGCCTAGCAAGTGAAGTAGTGGAGGCAGGAACCATACATAGTTTTAAGAAGAGGTATGACAAAGCTCAGGAAGCAGAGAGGGAGAGGACCTAGTAGCGATCAGTGAAGAGGCGGGGCCAGGAGCTGAGTCTTGACCCCTGCAACCACAATTAGGTGAGTACAATTAGGAGAGTACACACACACACACACACACACACACACACACACACACACACACACATATTGGAGTATGCGGCACCAGTTTGGAACCCACACCTAGCCAAGCGCGCTAAAGGAATAACAGGAAAAGTCGGTCGATGGATCTATAATTTCCTCACTAACAGAACACAGAGAGTAGTCGTCAACAGAGTAAAGTCCGAGGCAGCTACGGTGAAAAGCTCTGTTCCACAAGGCACAGTACTAGCTCCCATCTTGTTCCTCATCCTCATATCCGACATAGACAGGGATGTCAGCCACAGCACCGTGTCTTCCTTTGCAGATGACACCCGAATCTGCATGACAGTGTCTTCCATTGCAGACACTGCAAGGCTCCAGGCGGACATCAACCAAATCTTTCAGTGGGCTGCAGAAAACAATATGAAGTTCAACGATGAGAAATTTCAATTACTCAGATATGGTAAACATGAGGAAATTAAATCTTCATCAGAGTACAAAACAAATTCTGGCCACAAAATAGAGCGAAACACCAACGTCAAAGACCTGGGAGTGATTATGTCGGAGGATCTCACCTTCAAGGACCATAACATTGTATCAATCGCATCTGCTAGAAAAATGACAGGATGGATAATGAGAACCTTCAAAACTAGGGAGGCCAAGCCCATGATGACACTCTTCAGGTCACTTGTTCTATCTAGGCTGGAATATTGCTGCACTCTAACAGCACCTTTCAAGGCAGGTGAAATTGCCGACCTAGAAAATGTACAGAGAACTTTCACGGCGCGCATAACGGAGATAAAACACCTCAATTACTGGGAGCGCTTGAGGTTTCTAAACCTGTATTCCCTGGAACGCAGGAGGGAGAGATACATGATTATATACACCTGGAAAATCCTAGAGGGACTAGTACCGAACTTGCACACGAAAATCACTCACTACGAAAGCAAAAGACTTGGCAGACGATGCACCATCCCCCCAATGAAAAGCAGGGGTGTCACTAGCACGTTAAGAGACCATACAATAAGTGTCAGGGGCCCGAGACTGTTCAACTGCCTCCCAGCACACATAAGGGGGATTACCAACAGACCCCTGGCAGTCTTCAAGCTGGCACTGGACAAGCACCTAAAGTCAGTTCCTGATCAGCCGGGCTGTGGCTCGTACGTTGGTTTGCGTGCAGCCAGCAGCAACAGCCTGGTTGATCAGGCGCTGATCCACCAGGAGGCCTGGTCACAGACCGGGCCGCGGGGGCGTTGACCCCCGAAACTCTCTCCAGGTAAACTCCAGGTAAGAGAAAGTCCAAAGGTTTGCAACAAGACTAGTCCCAGAGCTATGAGGTATGTCCTACGAGGAGAGGTTAAGGAAAATCAACCTGACGACACTGGAGGACAGGAGAGGTAGGGGGGACATGATAACGACATACAAAATACTGAGAGGAATTGAGAAGGTGGACAAAGACAGGATGTTCCAGAGATGGGACACAGCAACAAGGGGACACAGTTGGAAGTTGAAGACACAGATGAATCACAGGGATGTTAGGAAGTATTTCTTCAGCCACAGAGTAGTCAGGAAGCGGAATAGTTTGGGAAGCGATGTAGTGGAGGCAGGATCCATACATAGCTTAAAGCAGAGGTATGATAAAGCTCACGGTTCAGTGAGAGTGACCTAGTAGCGACCAGTGAAGAGGCGGGAGCCAAGAGCTTGGACTCGACCCCTGCAACCTCAACTAGGTGAGTACACACACACACACACACTTCGGTTTATATACACAGATGGCAACCACTTTACTGCTTACTAGTTGAGAGTACAGACCTTCCTCTAAGGTGCACTCAGTGTATATACACACATGCACACCTCCCAGTACGTATATACGCACATGCACACCTCCCAGTACGTATACACACACATGCACACCTCCCAGTACGCATATATACACATGCACACCTCTCAGTACGTATATACATACACGCACACCTCCCAGTATGTATATACACACATGCCCACCTCCGAGCACGTATATTTACACATGCCCACCTGCGAGTACGTATATTTACACATGCCCACCTCCGAGTACGTATATATACACATGTCCACCTCCGAGTACGTATATACATGCTCATCTCCCAATACGTATATACACTGTGCCTGATAATCACGTTTGTAGTTTTTATTAACGCAAATTATCAGATGAGCTACCATATACTAATCTTCAGCGTGGACGTTTAAAAAAAATGTATATTTTGAACCTGTATAAAATAGCATCTAGATTATAGAGAGTGTCAATATAGACGGTTAGTTATCCCCGAGGTTGACGTGGATTCTATACTATGAATGTATTCTTTATAATACACTACTTATTATGGGCAGTAGTGGCTGATTTGTGATACAAAATTATTATGTACCTTCTTAAACACGTTCTTAGCTTCGTAAACTATTGAAGAAATTGGCCAAAACCTGGTTGAAAATACCATGATGGTGTTCATGGTTCAGCTGCTGTGGGTTAATGTATTGATTCTTGTGTTGATTAGTGTCTGGATGCCTGAGCATGGTCTGAAGGTCTGAGCAGTGTGTGAAGGTCTGAACAGTGTGCGAAGGCTTGTGGGATGTTGATACCAACAGCCTGGTTGAGCAGTCACTCAGTGAGAAGTCTGGCCTTACAACACAAGTAAACACAAGGCATAGATCAGCGAACATTTGGATAAGAAAACGATAAATAAGAGTGTGAAGGAAGAGTGATGAAGAAGAATGTGAGGGAAGAGTGATGAAGGTATGAATAGGTCCCTGGCTTAAGGACCTACAACTACTAGGTCTGAACTGGTCTCTCCCTGTCTTGAGGAACAGCCCGAGGTCTGAACTGGTCCCAGAGGACCTACAGACCAGGCAGGCAGTCATACAGATGATGTTGCAATTTTTGCCTATACAAGAAGGTCATTAATCTTGACACGAAGACCAGCGCAGGTACTGTGAGGAGGTTTAACGACGTGCTTTACATTCATGTCGTTAATGTTTAACGACATGTATTAACGAGTTTCATACCGCCACAAAAAAAAAGGTAAATGACTGTCCATATGTCTTGGGTGTATTTGAAACTTCTGCAAAGTTCTTTTTTTTATTATTCCAGAGGTTCTTTAAGGATTGGAGACGATGTTTTAGGATTCTGGATTTTCTGGATTC